TATTCATAACAGATTAAGTTTTTAAAAAATAAAAACAAGATGCACTGTTTTAAAATAAAAAAAGAATTATCTGATGGTGGTGGACGCGTGAAATCCCAGCAGCTTGGGAAGCTGAGGCAGGAGATCACAAGAACAAAGCGAGGCACTAAGCAACTCAGTAAGACCTTGTCTCTAAATAAAATACAAAACAGGGCTGGGATGTGGTTCAGTGGTTGAGTACCCCTGAGTTCAATCCCTGGTACTCCCTCCCACAAAACAAGAATTATTTTGGAGAAAAAGATCAGCTAAATACATTTAAGAAATACAAATATTTCTGTGCTAAATACTATTATTTGTTAAATAGTATACTAAATATAAAAGGAAAAAATGTACAACAAACATGTTCTTCGTATTCTATAAACTAACACTCAATAAGGAAGACAAACACTAGGATGTGAGCAAGTCCCTGGGTGTTATCCCCAGCACCACAAATAAGCAAAACAAAAAAACAAAAATACCAAAGTAATCTTATAGATGGATATATAATTACAAACTGTGATGTGCTATAGTATTAGAAACTGCTAATTATCCCTAGTAATTATTTCCCATTTCTTACTCAAAAACAGTCCCTGAATTTTATCTGGCCATGATGACCAACAATAACCCACATTTCCCAACCTTCCTTGCTCCTAGCTGAAGCCACATGACTAAGCTCAGTTCAATGGGACCTAACTGGAAGTGGTACATGTAACTTCCATACTTAATTGTCGTTTATTGTCTTCCCCCTTCTCACCAGATGGAGTTGCTATTTTGGACTATGATGTGGAAGCTTCTTGCTGAGAATGGCAGAGCAACAAAATAGGAGGAGCCTGGGTTCCCTGCAATGTGAAACCACTCTCCCAGCCAGAGTCCTCCCACAGAGCTTTCAGGTGTGAGAGAGGAAATTATAATGCATATAAAGTTATATGCACACTTTTACTTATTTTATCAGGAGCCACGTTTACTTGAGGTTTTCAGTCATTCATGGCTGAACTTAATCTTAAAGGGCATAACTATGACGGAAAATGGAAAGGTTCAAAGAGAGATTATGACAGAATAGTTGATTTTGACTGAAATGAGGGGTTTCAGGGATGGCTCCTCAGAGGGAGCTGTGATGTGAAACCTGCCAGGTGAACGGAAGTAGGGTATCAAACCATTCAAAACCAGGGGAAACCAAGAATACAACTTCAATGACTTAACCCTGAATATCCACAGGGCCAAAGAGCAAATTCTGTGATGTTAAGATTGCCTCTTGGGTTGGGTTGGGGGTGTAGCTCAATTGTTGAGCACTTGCCTAGCTTTCAAGAGACCCTGGGTTTGATCCCAGGCAATGCAATTAAAATAAACAATAATAACAACAAAATAAAACCACCAGTGCTTCTTCAAGGAATTAGAATTAAAGCAAGAACTAAAGCAACTAAGAGTTTCGGATTCAATATCAGAATCAATCTATTCTTAAAAGAAAAGGACCAAAATGCCTGTAAAAAATAGGGGACCAGGCACAGTGGCCCACTCCTATAATCTCAGCAGCTAAGGAGGCTGAAACAGGAGGATCTCGAGTTCAAAGCCAACCTCAGCAACAGCAAGGCACTAAGCAACTCAATGAGACCCTGTCTCTAAATAAAATACAAAATAGGGCTCTGGATGTCACTCAGTGGTTGAGTGCCCCCGAGTTCAATCCCCAGTACTAAAAAAAGGGGGGGTAGATAGGAAAATGCAGAATAAGAACAGACCCTGTTAAGGAAACTAACAGTTGCTTCCACAATTCAGCATTACTACTATTGAACTCTCCGAGTAGAGTGGTTCACATATTATTAGGAGAATGTCATGAGATTTTTAGATGCTAACTATCTCTGGCTCCGAGAAGAGGTTAATATTAAAATTTCTTTAAAATAATATTTGTTTATTTCTGATTCTAAAGTGGAAATATATTTACTGTGGAGAATTTAGGAAATATGCAAAGGAGTATACAGAAAAAAATAAACCACCTGTAAAATCATCACCTTTTGCCAGGCGTGGTGTTACACGCCTGTAATCGCAGCAGCTTGGGAGGCTGAGACAAGAGGATCTCGAGTTCAAAGCCAGCCTCAGCAAAACTGAGGCACTAAGCAACTCAGCAAGAGACCCTGTCTCTAAAAAGAATACAAAATAGGGCTGGGGGTGTGACTCAGTGGTCAAGTACCCAAGTTTAATTCCCAGGTATCCTCCCCAAAAAAACCCAAATCATCACCTTTCAACATTTTACACTGACACTGTTTCGCTACACACTCTAATTCCCACACACATATGCACAAACACAAAAATGGGATTATAATGCATATAAAGTTATATGCACACTTTCACTTATTTTATCAGGAGCATATTTCATTGCCACTAAAGTAGTTTTTTTTAAGTAGTGTTTTTAAAGCCATAAATTTAATAGATATATAATTCACCTAGCCAATCAAGTCTGGGTATTTTCTGAGTTGTAACTGTCAACCACCAATTACAGCCCTGTAGATTAATAAACTGACTTCAAAATCTGAGAGTTTTTATTTAGAAATCTCAAGTTACAGTTTGAAAGAACTAGAACCTTATAACCAATAGTTCAGTGAAATACACGGAGTTTCAGCCATGTAGAATGTTCATTAAAGACCATCTTTTCCCAAATGAAGTACATCATTACATAATTAGACTTAAGGAAGAAAGTATCAAAGATCAAGGTCACAATAAAGAATAAGAACTAGTAAGTGTCTACTGTAAGAAAACAAAATAAAGCAAATAAGAGAAAATATGCATTTATTACTTGTATAATTATGTTTTCAAATGAATACAGAAAAACAGATGAAAAAAAATGGAAGCAAATAGGACATAGAGTTAATAGTTATTAATTCTGGAATATGACATTATTTTTCATACTACAAAGCTTTAATTTTTCTCACAACCAAAAACTAATGCTAAATTAAATATTAGTCATGTGAGTAAGGTAATTCAGATTTTAGAAAAATCAGTATGTTTGCCAGAGGCTAAGTGGATCTTTTGAGAAGGAGAAACAAAAAGCTAAGCATAAAGCATTAGGAATCTGTCCTAAAATGAAACTATTTTAAACTACAGCTTAATTAGCAATAGCAATGTTTCATGTTGGAAATAAGCCCAAGGAAGGATCAGCTTTTAAACTTTATAGTTGTGCTTCCTTCAAATACTATCCTACCTAAAAGTGATATTTTCCTATTCCATCAAGAAGTCTGTTTTAACAGTTAAGCAAATACTATAAAAACTGCAAGACTGCATTTTGTTTCTGACTCCAGTTTTCTTTATCTTGTATACCTCAGGTTTTCCTGACATTAGACATTTTTAAGTCCAGTTCCTAGAATCCAAACTTAGTTCAGCCAACAAGCAGAATTTGCCACCTGATGAACTATCTTACTGAAGAGATGGTTGCAATTCTACTAAATGAGGTCCCTAGCAGGAAAAAATTTTAAAAATAGAAATTATATAATGAACCAAATCTTTACATTAGTTCTCACAATCAAAAATTTCAAACAAATGCAATGTTTTCTTTAATTGCTCCATTTTCCCTAAATGTAAGCTTGGGTTGGCCTAACTGCAACAGCATCCCCCAACCCCCTATTCCACTCATCAGTTCTCACCTTTTTTTTCTGCTGGAACACGTGAATTTTTCAGCAAAAGTGACTCACTCATTGGCATCTTGTCAAACTAACCCTGAAACTACAAGGAGTCTCAGCGCTACCAGTATTCTAAAGCTAGAACACTTTCACTAACACACATCATTTTGACATGAGAGAACAGAATCACATTCAGAGCCAAATATATATTAACAAACTCTGTATTTTTCCTTACAAATTGTTTTCCCCAATCCCATTTCCTCCTGATTTTACTTTGGCATTTCCCTTATCTAAAACACCTATAATCTGTAGGGAACACAAGATGGGGAAGCATAAGAATAAAAGGGAGAAGTAAAAAACAGTTGTTCACGCCACCTGGAAGAAGACTTAACTCATGCTAACTCATCTTTTCCACACAGTCCTCTCAAAGTTTATTTCCCCCTCAGTTAAATGAAAAAAAAATTCAGACACAATCAGACATCTCCAGGAATAAATTATTCGTTGCTCATATTTCACTAAATGAAAGTTTTAAAAAACCATAAAAATCAGCTACTGAGAATTATTTCATCAAAAAATTATTTCATCTTCAGTAAGATGTCACTAGTATGAACTATCAACTACAAATCACTTTATCCTACATATTTACCTATCACGCGACAGAAAATGCTCTTTTTAACCACAGAAAGTGGTGGGGAAAAAAACATGAGAACAAATGCTTTAACAGATCACCATAGACATTTACTTACAGTTCTATCAACTGTCACACTCCACCTGGTGGCAGGAACTGCCTGAATTGGTGAAGTGGAAGTCATTATATAAAGAACTCCAAACAATACTTTCCACATGTCTTTGGGAAAAGGGAAGACACTATATAGAATAAGTCTAACAAGTTTCTGCTTGTTTTTTCGCTTAATAGTAGGTAAATATCTGATAAGATTAACATGGAAATATGACAATACTTAGAATTTAGAGATCCACTTAACAGCTGTTCTCTCTCAGTAAATTAAATGTCAGTTTGAATCTTTACAACAGGTAAGACATACAGCAGCTACAGGACTCTACCATACACTCCCACTAACTTTCTGCACCCTTCCCCTATGGGTAAACTATAGAGTTTAATTAACAGTTAACGGCAGCCTGCCACGTTGCTTTTAGATGTTTGCCAGTAACATATACCCATGGGATACTCTAGAGACTGATTTCAACCAAAAATAAAAATAGATAAACAGAGCTCAAACAAAATTAAAATCGAGTCTGGCTGCCCACACTTATTTTCACACATGAGGAAAAATAGCAGCTCTCTTAGAAGCCTGGAGCAGACATATCTTTAGAACACAATGTTAAAAATACCACCCCACCCCCCTCCAACTTCCCTACCTGTTTCTCACTCAAAGCTGTGATTTTGGCTTGGAGTTCATGAAGCTGTTTCTTTAAGTCAGCATTCTGATTGGAAAGAAAAAATATCTGTGAGAGAGATATTCATTTGTTAACAGAATAGTAACAAGAAGACTGTATACTGTATTACAAATGATGAAGCAACCTTAAGCATTTAGCCAATCAAATTTGTCATGCATTAAATTATACACACAATATCACCCCCTAATGCAGAAATCCTAAATGTAGGCTCCTAGCACCAGAATAGGGGAAGATTCTTTCAGCTGTTTTAAATTACAAGTTGTTTTATATTTTAGCCTCTTGCACTATAAAAGTGCCTTGCTACTAAAATGCTGTTATTCTTTTTAGAATGTATCAGTTGACAGAAAACCCGAAGCTCCACTAATCAGACAAAACCAGGAAAATGGAGGTCATAAGTGTGCATACACTGTATGCTCAGCAGCATTATCAACAAAGATAAGAGGTTTTTCTCTACTTGTCCTCTCCCTTATTTAGTAAAGTACATTTGTTATTTTAGCCTAGATTTGAAAAGCTGTCAGTACTCAAACTGCCTTAACACACTACATCATTCAAATTAACACACTGACTACCAGGGCATTTTCTCAGTTCTAAAATTCTAGGAATCAAAAAAAGGAATACTATTTTAGATGAGACACACTGAGCATGCTTGCCTTTTACTCAAGTGGGGCGGGGGGAATTTGAATTTTCAAATGTTTAGTGTAGCAGGAGAGCCTACTAGCAGACTGAAACCCCATCCCCACATCCTCGCCCAATGAGACTTACTTTTACTTGATCATTTCACACACACTTGTTTTACACATTTAATTTATCCAGCCTGGTCTGCTGTTAAGAGTTGGAGCACACATCCTCACCCTCTAGGAAGTTTAAAGTTTACTTCATTTGGACCTTTTTTTTTTGGACAGTACTGGGAAATGAATGCAGGGGCTCACATATGCTTTGCTAGCTCTCTACTACTGAGTTATACCCCTAACCCTTTTAATTTTTTACTTTGGAATGGGGTCTCACTAAGTTGCCCACACTAGCCTTGAAATTGAGATCCTCCTGCCTCAGCCTCCCAACATAACTGGAATTACAAGGATGCATGACTGTACCCAGCCCCACTGGAACTTTTAAAACTATATCTGATGAAAGGCTTTTCTAATGAGTTCACCTATAATGCTGTCTCACAAATTACTGCCCCTCAGATTCTTCTGGTTAAGACTATTTTTACATGATCACAAACTACATTAAAAAGGCTAGCTTCTAATGGTACTTCGGGTGCTAATAATAGGACCTATTAATCCAGGATCTATGGCTTCTTGGTTCCCTAAATCCAACTTAAATTGTAAATATACCACAGAAATAAAAATAAAAAAGAGCTTTCTCATGGAAGTTCAACTGTCAAAACAGAACTAAACGTGAGTTATCAATCCCAGCATTAAAATACCAATACTCATACAATTGAGTCCCAAATTTGTTCTTTAAAACTTATTTGTATGACCCACTGTCTAATGGTTGCAAAAGAAACACTGCCTGAGTAACTAATATAAATATTCACAGGACAAGATAACTTTTGGAGAAGATTACTCTTCAGAAGTAGAGAATAAAAACTATGAAAATTTAAAGAAATTTAATCCTTTCTAGATCATACATTATTTAAGATATTTCTAAAACCCTCTTGAATGGCTCTTTCAAAAAATTTTTAAATATTTTTATTATTTTATTCTAAAACTGAATGATTTAGGTCCACTTTCAATAATTTTGATACTAAAGAAACCCTTACAAACTCTGGTTTTAATTAAGTGAGCTTAAGAAAATGAAATTTAAGTTATATGAAGAATATTGCCAGGTATGGTGGCACACTGAGATTACACCTGTAATTCCAGTAACTCGAGAGGCTGAGGCAGAAGGATCACAAGGTTCAAAGCCAGCCTCAGCAACTTAGTGAGACCCAATCTCAAAATTTTTAAAGGGGCTGGGGATGTAGCTCAGTGGTAAAGCTCCCCTGGCTTCAATTTCCAGTACTGCAAAAAATACAATATATGAACAGTTTTAATATTAACTCTCAATATTTCTCCCAAAATACCTGGAGCAATGAACATAAAAGCAAATTAACAATAACAAAGATGAAGTGATAGCTATATAATAGTACAATGACTGGATTTTTCTAAACTCATAAAACATGAAGACCAATGTGCTAAAGATATTTGCTGTTAGACATGAAAGAGTTCTTTAAAACTTAAGGACCAACTATATTTGAATATTTTATGGTCATTTTATTAAATTATTTTTTAATTTAAAAATTGAGTGAATTAAAATAGCAAAATATTTTACCTGTGGATCCTGCTTCATTTGAGCAACCAGTTTCTGATAATAAAAAGAGAAAAAGAACCATTAGTTTTAAATATTAATGCTGTAGGGCTAATCATTTTGGGCCCCCCAAATTGAGGGTTTTAGGTTCACACACAAAATAAAACACCATTATAATCAGAATAGACAAAAAAGATTGTGTGATCCTCGTGAAAAGCTAATGAAACACTCTTCTTAATAGGAAAAACAAAGTAACCAAACTATCAACTTTACATTTGAAATGAAAAAGTACTTGATTTTTCAATATGGAGACAGGGATGGAGAGCAGTGGCTTTTAAAAAGCAATTTAAAGAAGGCGATTGCTCACAAGCTAGGCATCCCTCTAACATGCTGTCACTGTCTAAAGTCCTCACAAGACCTGAAAAGACCCACTGAAAACCAGCCTGTTTGGGTACAACAGAGTACAGATTTGGCAGATGTATTGGGCTGGTTCTCACAACAGAGGGAGCCTGGTGTCAGGGGTGAGTTTGCCACTGTCTTCTATCAAGGTAAGAGGGGACCTCAGGGAAGAATATATTCATTCAGTGGACCAATGATACTCAATATCTAAGAACAAGAAAGTGGAGGAATAATGCAAATCTCTACCTATCTATACTCTTCTGGGAAAAAGAATGAGACCTTTACTAGGAAAAGGAAGCCCGACATTTGACGTACCCATCTTGTAAAAACACTGCTGCAAAGGTAGCAATAATGATGAACAGACAAAACTGAAGGATAAAGGAATATCAGAAGGCTGACTCCTGAAAGTATCTAGGAATAAGCTATTTTCCAAGTGAGTTTTCCATACAATGGAAAAATCTTAACAAGGCACTTCTAAATTGTCAAACTCTTATTGTTACTTAGAGGCACAAAAGTACGAATTAATATACTATACTACAAACAGTACAATAAGACACTTACAGTAAAAGAGGTCTTGCTGTTTTAAAGAGTTGTTAAACACGGCATGGTGGTGCGTGCCTGAATCTCAGTGTTTCAGGAGGCTGAGGCAGGAGGATTGCAAGTTCTTTAAAACTTCATTCTTTAAAACTTATTTGTATGACCCACTGCAACAGCCAACCTCAGCAGTTTAGCCAGGCCCTAAGCAACTTAGAGAGAGACTGTCTCAAAATTAAAAATAAAAAGGGCTGGGGATGAGGATCAGTGGTTAAGAGCCCCTATTGTCAATCCCAGGTACCAAAAAAAAAAAAAAAAGTTATCTCTACCTTTTATCTTTTCAGTCTATAATTAAAGCAGTCAGCTAGCAATCTTGCTACTATTGTTGTGCCTCCTACTTAACAGCCCTGAACCCCAACTTAAATTTGGTCCTTCTGATCAGCAAGTGATATACTCACTAGACTAATTTTAAGATGAGTGAATAGACTAAAAAAACTTAAGAAATCCTCCTTGAGTTAAATGTTTAATCTTTGGCGAATGACTTTTGATATTAATTCTAATTAGACAAAAGACTTTCTTTCTGGCGTTAAGACATATTCTAGATAGCTGAGGTTGCAATCATGTGACCTCCAAATACACAAAGTGAATGCCACTATGTTCTATTTCATATTTGACAATAATAGCTCTTCTATATCCTAGACTTAACCTACACAGTAATAACAATACACATTCTAAGAGTTAACAGAATTGAAACACAGTTTTGCTGGGCAAAATGGCCCATGCCTGTAATCCCAACAGCTCAGGAGGCTGATACAAGACGATCACGAGTTCAAAGCCAGCCTCAGCAACTCAGTGAGGCCCTAAGCAACTTAGTGAGAACCTGCTCTAAATAAAAATGTTAAAAAAAAAAAGGGCTGGGGATATAGCTCAGTGGTTAAGCACTCTGGGTTCAATCCCCAATCCCCCCACACACAAAAAACAAAAAGAAAGAAAGAAAGGGAATGAAACAAAACACAAGGTATTATATATTTTTACAAATCTAGCCATAGTCTTCAATGAAAAAAAAAGCCTCTGATTTGGTTACCAGAGAACTGGCTATTCATACTAAAATTATCTTTTTGAAGCTGAAAAGGCTTTTCTTCCATGACACTGAAATCTAAAAACTAACTGATAACCCTACTAACTCTCCACCTCTGGAGGATATAAATAAAACAACTTTTCTATGTACAGTTAAACAGCATTTTAGACAATCAGGATTAAGTGTGGACAAGCTGAGCAACTTACTAGACCACCCAAACTCCCAGCAACTTGAGGCTGAGGTTGTATAATCAACCTTTATTATAAGAACACAACAATTTTTCATGAGGATATACTGTATGTTAAAGATAAGTAAATGACATTCAATTGGTCAAACTGGTCCACCACCTGTTTTTCAAATAGATTTATGAAACACAGCCAAACCATTTGTGATTGACTTGTCTATACACAATAGGGCACAGAAATTGTGACAGAGACTATAAATGACCTGCAAAATCTAAAATATCCTACCATTTGGCCCTTCACAGAAAAGTTTGCTAACCTCTTCATCAAACTATTCTCCATTCCATATGGAATAAACACTCCGAAAATTTCAATAAGCCTCTATCAAATCTACCTAAAAACAATCAAAGAAAGAGAGGAGACGGGCTGGGGTTGTGGCTCAGTGGTAGAGCACTCACCTAGCATGAGTGAGGCATTGGGCTCATCCTCAGCACCACATAAAAATAAATAAAAGTATTTATTCCATCTACAACTAAAAATAAAAAATAAAAAAAAGAGAGGCGAGAAAGGGGCCTTCCCTTCCAAAAGATGGCCATTATAAATATTTATTGAACATTAAATATATACATACATAGCTCTATCACCCCCCTCAAAAAGAAAACAAAGATCAAAAATATACTTCCACTATAGCAAGCGCAGGCAGGTTCATAATATGATCTCAATACAGTAAGCTTAATTCCAGCCTAATCTCATTCTGTAACTAGAAATGCAACAAAGGATACCTTTTGCCTGGCTTCTACAACCAATGCCTTTACTCCGTCATTTCTAGCATCCCTGAATACGTCATGATCATCAATTGAGTAGGTTACTCCACATCCCATCAGAAAACATTAGTTTTACAAAGCAGGCATGTCATTTGGATTTAATATTAACCATTTTTTTCAAAAATAGAAGTAACTAGAGTGAAATGTCTTATATGTTTTATATGTTAAAACATTGACATAGAAACATTTGTTAGTACACAAAATGTTGTATATTAAGAATAAATATAAAATTTATCAAGTTTATGTTCAAACCCAGTAGCTGAATATATAGGGAAACTGACAGTTACTATGACTATTAAGAGAGTATTTAGGTTTAGGATAACTTAAAAAAAAAGAATATTAAATCAAGGCTGGGGCTCAGTGGCACAGTACTTGCCTGGCATGGGTGAAGCACTGGGTTCAAACTTTTTTTTTTTTAATATTTATTCTTAAGTTTTAGGAAGACACAATATCATATTTTACATTTATGTGGTGTTGAGGATCGAACCCATTGCCTTGTGCATGCTAGGTGAGCGCTCTGCCACTGAGCCCCAGGCCCAGCCCACTGGGTTCGATCTTTAGCACCACATAGAAATAAACAAATTAAATAAAAGGCATTCTGTCAACTACAAAAAAATTATTTTTTAAAGAATATTATACCTCAACTGTTATACTTTAGAAGTAATCAATTCACCACCATTTAGCACATGAGTATCAAGAATTATACATGTATGCATGATTGTATGTGTCTTTAGCCTAATGCCCAGCTAATGTCTAGAAAATAGACACAAAACAGTGATATTCTGTTTACACAATGTTAATTATTTAGTTATCTATGAAAATATTTTTGTCTTGATTTAATTATATTTTTTATATATTCATATCAACATATAAAAATTAATTATTTTATTAAGGTTAACAGATTATAGAAATAATATTATATAAACATAATTACATCTTATATATGCACTTTTATAACTACACACATTAAAGATTTATTCAGTCTGGGTAACTAAGGTAAGTGTAAGAATTATGAAATCTGAAATTTAAACACCTGTGAAAGCAATCATTACCAAAGAAAAATGGCATAAAGCTGTATCCTATGAGCAAAAACTAGTATATATGATACTTAAGCTCAGTATGTCTCACAACTTACATGCAAGTTATAGCACATGAACAAAGTCCTTCAAAGAACCAAAACCAAAAACAGAACAAAAAAAAGTGTTTTTTAAATACCTCTGGGATACTAAAAAATATATATTTTCAGTCCTTTTCTCTGGAAGGGAAGTCAGGAATATTTTATGAAAATTCTTAAAAGTATTGATGGATTTGTTGAGTATAAGAGGCAAATGATATCACTCTGGAATAACTGTCTTAAAGATGATTTTCAAACTACCAAAAACCAGAGATGGGCCTGTTTACTAATCTTAGTCATAATTTAATGCCCAATGTAGGAGAAGCCAACAACACAACGTACCTGGTGAACCTGAATTTCCACTTTAAGAGCCTCCTGTAGAGTCTGCAACTCCATTCTCTACCTTCTCCACACTTTCTCTTATGTCTGCTAATTCTATAGTTCTTCAGCCTCTGTTTAAAATAACAAACTCTTCTTCTTGATGCAGCTGTACAAATCATAAAATGTTATGGATCATTAATTGGGAATAAAGAACATATTCCTGTTAAATATGAGCCCCCAAATATTTGATTTTTTAACAGAGGGAGAAAAATCCCAGATTTTTCTCTAAAACAATTCAGTATCAAACATTTCTGGGTTTTATTCTTTTGAGCATTCCTCTAGAGAATACTTTAAATAACTAAGAAAAGAAAAATAACAAAAAGTCATGGTCATGGAAACATAACCACCCACTACAAACTAAGCACTGTTTTACATACTACCTACTAAGCACAGAACTGAGTAACATCACTTCCTCCCTAGAAACCATCATCATCCAGAATACACTGTCCTTAGAAAAGAGACACAAAACATGATCACACATTTTTAAGCATCACAAAGAGTACACTGGAGAGCTGCGTTCCTAACAAGTTAAAGAAAACTAGGGTATTTTCATTTGGTTAGGCTCTTACTACTCTTATTTTAAAAATAAAGAAATTAAGGGCTGGGGTTGTGGCTCAGAGGTAGAGCGGCTGCCTAGGATAGGTGAGGCCCTGAGTTCAATCCTCAGAATCACATTAAAAAAAACGACAACAATAAATAAATAAAGGTTAAATTCTTTAAAAAAATAAAATAAAATAAAATAAAAATGGGAGTTCTGGTATAATTTAAACATTTAAATTTAATAAGTTAAATACAATAATATGACATAGTATAGGTACTTTGCACTGTATTTATCTATACAATCTGTGCTATCCATAAAATTATGATGGGTGTATTATGGGAGATACTGCTGTATGTAGCATTGGAGATGGGCAGCTAACAGAATGTGCTTCTGGCTTCATAGTGAACATCATCCTCTCTTCACACTTGCCAGTGCATCTCTGACTACATGTATAACTACATGTGGAGATAATGTCAAAAATCTAGACTTGTAAACCCAAACATGACACCCAGCCTAACCTTCTTAATCCTTAATCCTTAGGGGGCTGGGGTTGTAGCTTAGTGATAGTGCAATTGCCTAGCACATGTGAGGCACTAGGTAAAAATTAAATAAAGATATTGTGTCCATTTACAACTAAAAAATATATATTTTTTAAAAAATGTGCCTTAGACATGATTTGGGGTTCTTTGCCAAAGCAAAAGTAGGTGTTTTATTTTGGGGGGGGGCATAATACATTTGGGTGGGTCAAATTTATTCTTTTTTTTATATTACACACAGAGCACAATTTTTCATATCTCTGGTTGTATACAAAGTATATTTACACCATTCCTGTCTTCATACGAGTCTGAATACATTTTTTAACCCTGACTTCAAATCTCTGCTCTTCTTTGCACTTATAAAATTTGATGCTTGAATAGCTTTTTCGAACTGAGGAAGGGAATAAACAAGAAGCTAGAAGAGCCACTACTTCACACCAATACAATGAGATTCATGGTCTTCATGTTTTCTAAAAATTATTTACCTATGAATAAAGACCACATTCAACTCAGAAAACTGACCAGACTGGAGCCAGGGCTGTGGCTCAGTGGTAGAACGCTTGCCTAGCATGAATGAGGCACTGGATTTGATCCCTGGCACCACATAAAAATAAAATAAAGGAATTGTGTCCATCTACAACTAAAAAATATATATTTAAAAAAACACTGACACAGTCATTAATTATATTATATTAGGAATATTACTTTTCATATTTTCTTAATTTTACTAGGCTTAAAGCATCAGTGGCACTCTCTCCTCTCGGTTTATATGCCATGTTACATGATATCAATATACTCTAATCTCAAAAAGGAAAAAAAATCCTAAAGTCCAAAATTCCTTCAAAGTTAGGTTTGTGGAGGCTAGAAAAGATTTACTGTACAATGATACTTTAAACAAAAAAAAATCATAAAGGAAGTGAATTTAGGAGGGTTAACTTAAAAAAGGAGATATTTTGATAAACAAATATTTTGATGGGTATTTTAGCTATTTATTATCTTTGGAACTGCAATAAGTAAATAAATAAATATCAAAATGATTAAGTTACTCAGACCAAGGTTTCTGTTGTTGTCATGTACACTTACTTTATAAACAACTGCTAATGTTAAAACTGTACACTTTGGGGCTGGAGCTGGAGCTCAGTGGTAGAGCGCTGGCCTAGCATGTATGAGGCTCTGGGTTTGATCCTCAGCACCACATAAAAGTAAGTAAAATAAAGGTACTGTGTTCATCTAAAACTAAAATATAATTGTACACTTTAATTTTAAATACTAATCTCCCTATTCAAATTCTTAACATATATTATAGTTCATGAAAACAGTATGCAGTTTTAATTTTTGAAAACTGATCCCTTATAATAAAATTGAGAATCACCTTGAAGTTGAATAAGTACTTCAAAAAATAGAAAGGCATATTTTATTATTCTGGTGGCAACACACAACACCATAGCTCAACTGAACTCATATAAACTATGGAAACAGGTTAAAAAACGTGGAGAACCTATACATGCCAAAGGGTTAATATTGTTTATATAGTAAGGGAACTCATAAATTAGCAATAAAAATCTATGGAAAAGGAATTCATAAAAGAAGAAATAAGAATGACCAACACACATAAAAAAACATTCATCTTCAACAGTCATAGAAATGTAAATTTTGTCCATCAAGCTGAAGAAGAGCTGTAAACATGATAATACTTAACTAGCTACAATGTGTGTCAGACAATACTTCACAATTTGCTAATGAAATTTTTAGGTGATAACACTGATAGTTATTTACTTTCTACTTCGGAGGTATTAGTATTTTTGAATTTTTCCATAAAAAAATGCACTTATTTTTAAATAAGAAAAAATTAGGTGAGGATTGATAAGCACCAGAAAATGTTACACTGATCAAACAAAATGCTCTGAAAAAGAAAAAAACAAAACCCAGTCTTAACCTGGAGACTCTAAATGTCAAAGAGTGCCTTGCACGATAATAAGACTGCAACTCAAGTTAATGAGGAGCTGACAGCTTTTACTTCCGACATCAGACTATTGTCTACCTACGAGAGACATACAAAAGCATGAAGTTTTAGTTGGCAAGAACTCTAAATGCCAATTACCCATTTTATTTTAAAATAAAATGAAGGGTTAAAAAAGTAGTAAACTAGTTATAGAAAAACTTTTAAAGGATTCACTTAAAATCCTTCAGAAGGGTCCATTTCTGGATAGTAATTTTAAGAGATTGGTCTCCGTCTAAAAGAACAAATAACACATATATTTACAGTTTACAAAGACAAGGCAAGCACATGTTGAATCCTCTAAAAAATATTTTGGGATCTTAAACAATTTATGCAGCCATCATCTGAACACTGTTTGGGGGCAACTTATAGCATCAAAAGAAGGCACTGCCTGGCAGGGTGGTATCTGACTGTAATCCCTGCTATTCAGGAGGCTAAGGCAGGAGTACTGCAAACTTAAGGCCAGCCTGAGCAACTCAGCAAGACCCTGCCTCCAATAAATAAATAAATAAATTCTAAAATGTAAAATAAGTGATTGATTGATTGATTGATTGATTGATTTAAGAGAGAGAGAGAGGATTTTTTTAATATTTATTTTTTAGTTTTCGGAAGGCACAACATCTTTGTTTGTATGTGGTGCTGAGGATCGAACCCGGGCCGCACGCATGCCAGGCGAGCATGCTACCACTTGAGCCACATCCCCAGCCCTAAAATAAGTGATTTATAAGTTACAGACAACAAACCAATTGCTCCAAGCAAGGTGACCATAAACCGATTGACCAAATAGTAATAGACATATTGTATTCAGGTACAATGCCTTTCACCAACCAAGAACTCTGCATACTATCATTAGCAAGGGCACTTGCCCAGAACACATACAAACATTTGCAATCTTCAAAACAATATACCCCAGCTGGGCACAGTGGTACACACTGTAATCCCAGCAACTCAGGAGGCTGAGGCAGGAGGATTACAAATTTGAGGCCAGCCTCAGCAATTTAGTGAGACCCTGTCTCAAAAAAAATAAAAATAAAAAGGACTGAAGATATATCTCAGTGGTTTAGCAGCCCTGGGTTAAATCCCTAATACCAAAACAAAACAAAAAAAAACTATATACCTCAAACCACTGGGATACTTAATAGCTTCTTGCTTTCAAATAACAAAAAACAGAGCATAAAACCAGATTACACAAATAAATAAAAATCCTCCAAAACAAACAAAAGTAATAATCAAATATCACTAAAAAGGGCAACTGTGTCACCTAGAAAGAACATTTATTATCCCCCCAAAAAAACTAATTCCAAACTCCTTGTGTGACAACTTTTATCCTCAAGGGTTTGTTCATTTGCTTGTAAATCAAGAAAATACTACCTATTCACAGGAGGATTATTGTGAGGTTTAAATAAGTGAAATTTTATGAAAAGTCCTCTGTAAACTATAAAATGTTATGACAGTCTTAACATATTTAACTCTTTTCTTCACACTCAAACTTTCTAATAAAACTTCTTGCCGGGTATGGTGGTGCACACCTATAATCCCAGCAGCTCGGGAGGCTAAGGTAGGAGGATCATGAGTTCAAAGCCAGCCTCAGCAACACAGAGGTGCTAAGCAACTCAGTGAGGCCTTGTCTCTAAATTAAAAAATACATAATAGAGCTGAAGATCACTGGTACCAAAAAAAACAAAAAACAAAAAAACACTTCTTACTACAAAGTTATTTCTATTAGGCTGCAGGCTTTTCTAACACCGAATTTTCTGAGAAAGGGGCTTCTAACTATTTTTCTGAATAGTTTTGCTTAGAGATCTATATGACTTCTAAGTCTCTTATTACGATTCTAATAACTATAAAAAAACTATAAAATTCTGATTTTACTGCTAAGAATTATTTTAAATTTCTAAATTGACATGTCTTTTTCCAATCAAAATTTGACTGGTCAACCAAAGGTTACTTTAAAGAGTAAGTCCATCAGTAGAATGAGCTGGACAAAACTTTCCTATGTTCATACATGAATACACCACCAATGAAACTCCACATTATGTACAACCACAAAAATGAGAAGTTATAACTCCATGTATGTATAATATGTCAAAACACATTCTGTATGCCCCCAGGCTGTCCCTAAAAACAGTCAGCTATATGTTCCCTGTACCATGCATTTATTTTGTTTAAAACTCCTCTGCTCTTTTGTATATTCTTAGATGCAATGTTTAAAGACAGCTTAACTTTTTAAAAAAGGAAAAAGCAGGAAGCCTTGACAGATCTATGCAGCCTTACATCTTGCCCCATGCCTAATATCCAGATATCAGATTTCAATTATGCAAAAAAATACTATGTATTTAACATGCAGCAAAATAAAATAGTATCTTTGACCATTAACTAATGATGCTAAGACTTAACATGAATGCTAAAAATAGTAAGTCTTTTAAAAGTTTTTAACTAAAGCTCTTATGATAGCGCACACCTGTAATCCCAGCAGCTCAGGAGGTTGAGAGAGGCTGGAGGATCTCAAGTTCAAAGCCAGCCTCAGCAACTTAGTGGAAACCCTGTCTCTAAAAAAAATATTAAAAAGGGCTGGTATGTGGCTCAGTGGTTAAGTGCCCCTGGGTTTAATCCCCAGTTGAAAAAATAAAAAAGTATTTATTGAAAATTCTAATCTTTATTAACATAAATAAAAAACTGACAAAAATTAATGTAATTTTGTCTTCTTATCATTTAGCAAATTTTCAACCCATGCTGAGTTATTTTCACGGTAGTATTTCTTATGTGACATTCCAGAGGTCAAAAGAAAATGTGCATAAGAACTTGGCAACCCTGATTTTATAGGCTACCTACCTTTGAATCTGGCAATTTGGTTATACTCAAAAATAGCTGTTGACAAAAATCACCGAAGCTATTTGTTTCCAAATTATTAAATAGTAGTTTCCTAATTATTTAATTATGTTTCTTTGCTATTATCCATCTTTCCTTCTTTGTTTGGATTTTTGGAGAAAGAGCAGACCTCATTTTTAAAACAGGAACACCCACACAGTTCATATCACTGCCACACACAAAACAAAGGTCTGTCACAGTGTCCACACCTCTCTTCACCATCAGTGCTCCTTCTGGGCCCCAGGCTACCTGCACACACATAGTCTTCCAGTTCCCATCTTTCTTTACAGAAATCAAGGAAAGCTGGAGAGTAATGTACAAGAGAATAGTGAAAATAAGGCTGATTTTAGAACTGGTTGCCACATTTACTTGAATGTTAGTTAATGATATATAAAAAATAATAACTGTCCAGACAAACTTGGCCAGCAACTTATAAATATGTACTATACAAAAGATAACACAAGGAGGGTGTAGTGGTCTCAGCATAACCAATAAATACTTAACAGAAGTAGACGTTACGGGAGATAGATTTCAGATCAATATAAGGAAGACTAAGGATTAGAGCTGTACAAAAAAGGAATGGGTTACCTTATGAGGTAGTGAGCTCCCTGTCATTAGAAGTATTCAAGAATGCTGCATATCATATCCCCCTCTTGGAGATTCACAATGCACATTAGCATATTAAAGGTTCTGAGAAGTCCTGTAGTAAAGAAACCTGTTTAACTTTGTTTAAGGCAGCATTTCCCAAATTATTTGACCACAGAACCCTTTTCCCACCCCAGACCCACCTCAATAATATTTATTCAGTTTCTGTGGAACTAGAATTCCTCAGAATACATCATAGAAAATATGACCTACTTTTTTTTAAATGAAGTATTCAATATGAAACTAGATCAATTAACAACATGTCAGGGATATAGGCAAAGAAATTGCCACAGAGGGCAAAAGTCTGGAAGAGAAGACCCTTAAAGGCCCCTCTTTAAGATTCTAGATTCTAAGAATCTATCATGACACAAAGTAAAAGTCCATAGAATTTTGTTTGTTTATTTAAAAAGGTTCCATGAGAGAAATGAGAGTAGAATTATAAGAGAGTAAAATGCAAGATTTGCTAGTTCAAGTGTCTTCCTTTCATGTTAAAATCCAATCCCTAAAAAGTAAGAAAGACACCTCAAGGGCCATAAATTATCAAAAGAAAGGCTTAACCAACTATCTACAATATCTATTTTACCACTGAGTCAAATGACTATTGAGGGCTGGGGTTGTGGCTCCATGATAGAGCACTTGATCCTCAGCACCACATAAAGATAAATAAATTAAAGGTATTGTGTACATCTACAACTAAAAATATTTTTTAAAAAAATTACTATTGAGAGGATCAAAAAAAAGTAGTTCTTCATTAGAGGACTTCACTATTCCAACTATCGTGTTTTAATATCATTTTTTTCATAATACACACTCTCCAAATAAAGTTAGTATTTGTTTGATGCTTAGTCACTAGACTGCCCTGGGCAATCTGTGATCTTGAATTAGACATTCAAAGAAATGATTAAACATGATGAATTATGCCATTAAAAAATGTACTAAAGTAGATCTTAGGAAAAAATGTGTTTGCCTGTATGTCCCACACTGATATAATTCTCTTTTTTTTTTTTTTTTAGTTCTTCCTCTTTAAGAAGTATACAAACACACTAAAAACATAATATCAGACATGAAGCCAATCTAATACTGTTTAAGAATATAAACACTGAGTTCTAAATTTCAAAGTCAAGGCTCCCACAGTCATATTAACCTAGCCATTTTACACATATACTAAGGCCATCAAATTTAACAGCATGTTAAGTAATATAAAACACAATGGGAAACTTAACTTTTCAATTTCCCAACTTTTGGATTCTCAGCCGTAACTAGTACATTAAGGGCATTTTTAGACAAGGGGAACTTTACATTGGAACAGATTTTCAAATAGTAGTATTATTAGAAACACAAAAGCATTTTGTTTATATGAAATTAAACAAAAATTCACTTTCACTCAGTTCAAACAGTAAAGTTTCATTTCTGAGGAAAAGATTTTCTTTACAAGAAAGAAAGAAAGGAAAGAAAGAAAGAAAGGAAGGAAGGAAGGAAGGAAGGAAGGAAGGAAGGAAAGAAAGGAAAGAAAGAAAGAAAGAAAGGAAAGAAAGAAAGGAAAGAAAGAAAGAAAGAAAGAAAGAAAGAAAGAAAGAAAGAAAGAAAGAAAGAAAGAAAGAAAGGAAAGAAAGAAAGGAAAGAAAGAAAGAAAGGAAAATAAAAGAAAGAAAAAAGAAAAAGATTATGTGAATTACTATCCAGCTAGCATCAAGTACTTGATACCTGCGCCTAATAAACATACTTACCGATTTTGGGGAAAGTAGCTCTCCTTCAGCTCTTTAGCCCCCTGAAAGAGAAGGAAAAAATGGAATTAGACTACAAACACAGATTTAGAACACGCTATCAAAAGCCGAAGACTGAAAGATTTCTATCTGATTTTAAGAAGAACTGAAACAAATACAAGTCTCTAAATGTTAAGAACCAAAAGAAAAAAGTAAGTTGTTTTACAACAAAGAAAGAACTCACGAGCAGTTAAATCTCCATTTTACCATAACTTTTTAAGACAAGAAAAAGTAAGTACAGTTGATCCTGGAACAATGTGGGAGATTAGAGGCACAACCTGCCATTACATGCACACACACATTCCAGTACAACTTTCTACTCCTCAAAAACTTAACAATCAATAATAGCCTGCTATTGACCAGAAGCCTTACCAATAACATAAAGAGTTAACATGTTTTATATATGTAATGAAAAACAGTGAAAATAAGTAATAACCACAAAATATGCAATTTACTGGAGATGAGCAGCTCTCACAGAGATGATTGGTGTCATGCAGCATTCTCAGCAGATACTCCCAACACTTGAGTTTATATACCGCCCAAGAATAACAGGAGGGCCCTACGAAATTATTATAAGCATGCAGTAGAACTATGGTTACTTTTTTGCAGTTACAATTTAATACTGCATCTTTATATTAACATTTTTCTCAACTGAATGGCATCATGTACGTCTGTAAGTTTGGTAAATTTTAACTTTTATAATAAATTTGTGTTTATTTTCTAAAGGATGATAAAATAGATTATTTTCTACATATATGCATTTATGATAGATATTTTAAATTTTATCTTCAACATTTCTAGGGTGTGTGTGCGGTTCAACTGTGAATTTTTTCAAACTGTCACAAATCTTCTTGTAAGTAGACACAGGCAGTTCAGGCCCAATGTAGTATTGAAGGGTCAAGTATAGTTGATAATTTTCCTCTCCTAAGAGAGACAAAGAAATAAAATACCCCACCACTAAAGAACCTACAACTACACCCTCATCCCCAACAAATGACTTTTGTTGTTTGTTGCTTTATGTTAACAAATTAAACTTAACATCATTAGTCCTTAGTTTGGTTCACTTAAAAAGTAATTTTTCCAATTAATATTGAAATAAATTTGCTTTATATAAGGCTTTAAAATTCATGGCATTGTACAATGTATAAAATTATAAATTTGCATGTAAACAATAAGAGAATTTAAAACTTCACATTCACATTCTGAAATGTCTCACCACTTTAGATTGTAAGCCACATACACAAAAGCAATTTTTCCATGCCACATATCTACTCACTAACAAAGCCAGAAAGAAAAGCAAGGTTGTTGTGGGGTTTTTTTTAATATTTATTTTTACGTTTTAGGTGGACACAATATCTTTATTTTACATTTATGTTGTGCTGAGGATTGAACCCAGTGCCTCCTGCATGCTAGGGGAGGGCTCTACTACTGAGCCACAACCCCATCCCCCACCAAAAAGCAAGGTTTTAAGATCCTAATCCAATATCAGGAAACAAAAATCAAAACTTTGCCATTAACATTTATCATTAAATTACATAAATTCCACAAGCCATGCTCAGTCTTCCTTGTACCTTAAACACAGTATATTTGTTGACTTACGTTACTCCAGTAGTATCTCATTTACTCAGGGGTATTTCAAAAGATCCTCACATCACCCAGATAATAAACCTTTGTTTAATCATGCACAGTCATATCAAACATACAGCAAAAATATTTAAAAGGGCCCCAATTCATAGAGTTGGCATTCATTTTCATGAGAAATTCCATTTACTGTTCTATCCTGCCTTTTCTTTAGCAGTAGCTCTTTAATAAAAGTTCTCAGATTTGACCAAATAACAATTTTAATCACCAAGATTAGAATGACTCCCAACCAAAATAAAAATCATACAAAAGTCTGTAGAATGGTACAGATATTAAAAAGTGGATTCTTAACATTATGGTTACCTACAGGATTCTGTATCACTCAAAAAAATACCTGAAATAGGGACACATTGTATTCGCTCGATAAATGTTAAAATCAATTAAATGATTGGACATTTAAACTGTGGGCTGCAGGCTTATCTTCCCTATTAGGATTTTCTTGTTAGTTCTTTCAGAATAGGGAAAACTTTCTTATGCATCAATTTCCCATAGCACTATTTGTAAATAAATAATTTTCTAAAACTTTTAATACAAATTGTCAACTAAGAAAGTAAAATATTACCAACTTTAAGTATAGTAAAAAGGAAAAGACTGATAAATTGAACTAAAATAAAATTAAGAACTTCTGTTCATAAGGAAAAAAAAAAACACCATTAAGAGAGTGAAAAAGCAAGCCACAAAGCCACAGAATTGGACATGATAATTGCAAACAAACAAACAAAAAAAATTAACAAAGGCTCATACACTCAAGAGTATATAAAATATGTGAAAACAGAGTGATCACGAAATGTCAGCATTTCAGTTTCTATCTATTGAGCATTTGAGAAAGCAGGATCACATACACTCTTCTGAAAAGTCATTCAGCAAAAGGCAGCACAACGTATGAATATCTTATCTGAAGGGCCTTTTCACCAAAATTCCGTAGCACAGCCAATTCTAAACTAAAGAATTTTACCATGATACCGTGAAGCCATATCGTGAAACTATTAATAAAACTACTTATAAGGACTACAGAAACCACATAGGAAAGCAAAGCCTGAGAAGGTTAAGTAACTTCCTCAAAGGTCACTCAGCTAGTTGGCAGCAGAGCTAGAGGAGAGCTTACGGATCCTGAGATTCTTTTGACTGAGCTTATTTTCTCTTAGACCTTTCTCTTAAACATCTGTGTAAGTTAACTCTTCTAAGAAACAAAGGACAATAAACGCTGGAAAACTTCTGGTGAAGTTTTCATGTTAAGTTGGTTTTTTTGTTTGTTTTTTTATCATATAAGTAAGCTATCTAGGGCAAGTTTTAAACCTGAAATCCTTTATGCTTAAAGGATCCCAAGAGTGAGCTTTAGAAGGGTCTGTCAACTCTATGGGTACTAGATGCTAAATTCTATATGTATGAGCCTAGGTAGTTATTAGGGAAGATGGTCCACAGCTTCAATCAGATTTGCAAGAAGAATTATATTTAGACTAGCAATTCTTAAACACTGTGCATCAGAACTCAGTGTTTCTTCTAAAGACTGATTATTAATTGACTACCATTTAGATAAAAAAAAAAGGCAAGGATTTAATTTCTATAATTTAATAGGATTGAGCAACAAAACATAGGATTTATATGTAAATTAGACTCTAGTTTTTACACTACTCATGCAAAAAGTGTCTAAAATGCAAGTTTGATTTCTTCATGTTAAGAAGACTAGAAGTGTATTAATCTGCTTCTTACAATATGTTTCACATTTATAAATGAAGTAGTTCAAAATTTTATATTTGGTGCTGGGGCTGCTGCCTCTCATTCATGAACCCCTGGGTTCAATACCTAGTAATTCAAAGGAAAAAAAAAACTTTTATATTTTTTAAAAATTTTTAATAGAGAAATGTTCTTGAAAAATACAAAACATTTTTATTTATAAATATTATTTGCTAACATAACTTCACACAATTTTTTACAAAAAAAATTTTTAAATTTTTAAAAATTTAAAAAAGATCATTTACCTCTCCAGAACTACCCTGCTTTAATCAGAGCTGACAAACAAATGGTTCATATTTCTGACATGGTTATAAAATTTTTAATATTTTAAATAAATGGAAGATTAAAAACCACTTCCCAAGTATCTTTTATAAAGTATCTAAAACCTTTGCAATAAACAAATTTTGCAGAAAAAAAGTTTAACACTAGATCATGTTTTAAATTAGGTTAAAATTTAATTCACCTCACTACAAATTTCAAACAATTAAGTTTATAGCCTGTGCTCAATCATAAATTTTGATAAGGGACTAGAATAGCACAGATAATTGTCATTCAAAGGCACTTTAAAATGTCACCTTACCCAGAATATTCAATCTCTTTTCCTTCCCCACTATGCCAAGCTGACAGTAGTCCAATAACTAAGCTTCATATTCCATAGGCTTAACTTCTTTTTACCTGCCCTACCCAACTTCCAACAGAAAATATAGTAAGTTTGAAATAAATTTAAATGTAGGTAAGTGATTAGAAGAAAAAGTAGAATCCCACCCTTTAGGCCTAATCTCACAACCATCCCTCTGTCCCCATCCCTCTTGCCCTCCCATAAGCATCCCTCTAGTACTTCTCCCTTTACTTTCATGAAACACCAATTTTCACCTTGTCATTACTGAATCATCATTTCATCCTAAAACTGATTGACCATCCTTGAATTCCTCTCCTCCAGCTCTCTATTGAACCCATTCCACTAGATCTTTGCTTCCCTCCATTGTCAAGATCACCAATGACTGCCCTGTTGCCGTATCTACTAAGTCAAGTCTCAGTTCTTATTTCAAGTATTATTTGACCAATTTGATCATTCTTCCCTTTTTAAAACCTTTTCTTCTTCTGACTCCCAGGACACCATCTAATTTTCTTCCTAATCTCTCTGCTCATCCTCAGTTTTCTTTTGCTGGTTCCTCCTCATTGCCCTAGGGCTCAGTTCTTGGATCTCTTCCCCTTCAGTGACTTCACCCAGTCTCCAGCTACAGTGGCAAGTCTCATATTTTTATCTACAGTCCAGATCACACCCCTGAATTCCAATCTCTCATACACAATGCCTCACTCAACATTTGCTAAAGATGTATCCTCAAGCTCCAAAAACCCAAAACTAAACCACTTATCTATTACCTCCTCAGGCTCATTCTCATACTCAATAAATGGTAACTCCAATCTTTCAGGCAAAGAATATTAAGGTCACCATGGATTCCTTTTGTTTCCACATCCCCATATCCAGTCCAACAGCTAACCATGTTGCCTCTACCTTCAAAACATACCTACTTTGACCTCTTGTGACAACTCCACTACCACCTCTTTGGTCCAACTCACCATGATCTTTATCCTTGATTAAGACCATGACCTCCCAACTGGCTGCCTG